GACATTGTGGAGGTTGTTCACTATACAACCACAGTGGGCGCCTTTCCTACCATAGACTTCATTGATTCCCATATTTATTATGACTTTCCAGAAGGTGGCACTACACTGTTGAGGATAAGGTACCATTTTCTAATTTGCATAAAGGTAGACTAGTGGTGGCCTGGGACCCAGGATAGGCAAGGCTACTACTACAGAAAGAAAAACACCATCTGTGGGAATTTAACTCTCTAGTAAAGGTGGATGTGCATGCAATGCTGGTAAACATGACATAGGATGACAACTGACTTCTTTTGAAATAGAAAATAATTATTGTAGAAATAATGAAGTGAAATGAAAAACTAAAATTTTTGTTTGTTTGTATAAAAAGAATTCCTGTGGTCCTGGCTGAATAGCTCAGTTGATTAGAGCATCGTCCCCATGCACCAAGGTTGTGGGTTCGATCCAGGTCAGGGCATATACAAGAAGCAACCAATGAATGCATAAATAAGTGGAACAACAAAACTGACATTTCTCGCTCTCTCTCTCACTCTCTCTCTTCCTCTCTCTAAAATCAATTTTTTTAAAAAGGCATTTTATGGAGAGCACATTGAGGGTCTTGTTTGGAGAGAAGTGACTATAGATAACCCTATCCCTATTTTTGTTTCAGGTTAAAATCATTTGTTTCCTATATTCTTTGCTTCTCAAAGTATGGATAGTGGGTGACTTGCAATAGAATCGTTAGGGATGATTACATTTTTTTTGGCGGGGGGGTGGGGGGAGATGCTATTTATTTATTTATTTATTTAATCTCACCCGAGGATCTGTTTTTATTGATTTTTAGAGAGAAGGGGAGGGAGAGAGAGAAAAAAACATCAATGTGAGAAACATTGATCAGTTGCTTCCTATAGCACCCGACCAGGGATTGACCAAGGATCGAACCCTCAGCCTAGGAATGTGCCCTGACTGGGAATCAACCTGCAACCTACACCAGATCACACTCCAACCAACTGTGCCATTTGCTGGGGGGGG